GAAAGGTAATTGATCACAGAATCTAAATTATCTTGAAACAATTCAATTGAATTAGAATGAAGCTTACATCATAAGAAGAATTGGCGCAGAGATGTGAGCTTATGATCTGATTATCAGCTTCTTCGGTATCATCGGTAAAGCTTAAGCGTGTCAATGGGTGTTAACTCTCGGTGGAGAACGAGAATCATCGTTCTCATATGTTTTTTTTTTTTTTTTTTTTTTGGTTTTTTTAATTTATTTAAATACACAACTTATGTGTCTTTAATTTTTAAAAAAACATAATTTTAATTTTATTTGTTTACTTTATCTTCAATTTTTTAAAAATTTTTAATAAATGTTAGAATCTTTGTTATGCTAAAAACAAATTCTCTTCAAAACTATATAGTAAAAGAACACTTATAATCACAAAAACAATTACACCACTTTTACTATTTCACATTTTAATATCTACTTTTACTTATATTAACATTACAAACCCATTTTATAATTAATACACCTATTTAAATATATTAAATCACATTCTTCTAAGTATTACATAACAACCAACCAATTAAAATACCACTTATTAGTTAAAAATGATTTAATTTAAAAACCAAGTTTATACCAGTTGAACATAAAACATAATCAACTACTTAATAAGAAAACCGCACAAAATCTACGCCCGCGGGATACCGCGGGTTAAATCCTAGTAATTGTGTATTTGTTTAGTCGGTATTGGGTATAAACCTTTCAATTTTCATAACCTTAAAGTGAAAATTCAAATTTCTCTGTTTGACTCTCCATCTAATGCAAAGAACAATCTTTTTCATTTGTATACAACTTATAAAATCTATGTAACATAGATCTGCTAACAACTTTTGGTAAGAAAATCAATCAACCATAAAAATTTATTAAATGCTATATGAACTATGATATTACAAAATATCTAACATCAATAAATAAAAAAATCCGAAATAACCTCCATCTGTTCAACATAACATGGAGCTTGATAATGTTGTTTCATAAAAACAAAATCTAAGAGAGATTTTTTAGGGAACGACGTGGCACTAATCCTTTGGAAGTTTTATTGAAACTATATGAAAGATGCCGTACAAAACGGCGCCGGATTTGGTCGTCGTTTTCCAGATCCGATATCCTCTTCTTCCACACGTCTCGTCTCATATCCCACCGGTCAAACGACACACAGAGACAGATCCGTTCCACACATTTTCTTTAAACCGGCTCAATCTCATTATCCACGTGGCAAAACCTCCATGGTTGTTAAACTTTCATCAAAACCGACACGTTAAACAGTAACCGTTTTTAACTAGTTCACTAGTATATATATAAATAAGCTCCGTTTCACATGTCTTTCACAGTTCACAATAACTTTTCAAATTTCGAAATTCGAATTTTTGTTCCTCACAAATCTCTCTCTATATAAACGATGATGATGATTGGAGGAGGAGGAGGAGAAGCTGAATCGTGGCCGGAGATGGAAGCCATAGCTAGGAAGATGGTGGAAGAGGTTGAAACAGAGAGTAGCGGATCATCGGAAGCTGAGACGGAGTCTCCGAGATCCGTCGGACGTTGGATCACAGCTAAGGACCGAGTTCATAGCCAGGTTTTGAAGATTAGGGAAGAGGATCTTTGTGTTATCGTCGAAGATAAAGCTGCGAATCCAGAGGATCGACGATATCTTCGTCCACGTCGTCTTAGTCTGTTTTTGATCTCGCGTCAGAATCTGCCTTGTTCGCCTCTTAGTGGAAAAGTGAGATCCGTTCGTTAACGCTGTTCAGAGTCAGTGATGATGATGATGATTCCCATAGATCTAAATCGATCAAGGTTCGTCTCTCTCTCTTTCTCGATGGACCGATCCAACAAATTACACACTAAGCTTTTGATTTCTATATGTATTTGATCTCTCAATTACACTATTTTTTGCAGGTGATATGTCCTTCTCTGTTTTTTTTCTGCTTTTGAACTTTTTTTGTTGTTTCGTTTTTTTTTTTTTTTTTTTTTTTTTTTTTTCTGGTGATAAATGTCATGTGTATATAAACCGTGAATCTGTATATATGAGCCTCATGAAACTTTATGCTCCTCTTTTTGTTCACCTAGCTATATGATCACTCTCTATGTATGCGTTTGATTTATCAAAACTACATACATATATACACGTAACACATGTATACATGGCACAAATTTGAAATGATTATTATTAGACTCATAACATTAAAAAAAATCCATAATTATTGCCACCTAAGTAGAGTTTTAATTCTAAATAACTACTTGACATTGAAGATAAGGTCGACTAATTGAAAGCTATTTTTACCAGTCAAAGACATCATAATCCTTATTAAGTCAAAACTTTACTGTTAATATAAGGCAACAACGTTTATACAAATAACAAAACGGATTGAAATAACGCGAAATGATTTTTTTTTTTTTTTTTGAATCAAAGGAAATAAACTCAACATAATGCAGAAAACAACACTCGGAAAACAAAATTCAACAAATCGAAAGATGTAGAGACTCTTATTGCTCCATAAAGAATATGATTATTTCACCATATTATTTCTTTAGGAAAAACACAAATTAATCTCACAGAAACTTTTTTTTTTTTTTTGGTTTAGAAAATATGTTGTTGTATCTCACAGAAACTTCTTCAGTACTTGTTAACCATTCTGCAATTCTTGCGAACCTCACCGACTCGACCCGTTAAAACTCCAATCCGACCCAACTTCACCATGGAGACACCAAAGTCCTTAAAGAAAGTAGAACCATAACGTTTCGTTTGCATGAGAACGTAAGATTTAGTTTCTTGATTGTTTAAAAGAGCTGCATCAGATTGAAACAACCCTCTTTGTTTAGACACAAGCTTGAAGTAGCTTTTATCAAATGTTGTGAAGCTTCCTGGATCCATTTCCAGATCTGTCGTGGTATCGGTCGGCTTACATTTTCTTCTGAGTCTGGCTGCATATTCCTTGTCTAAGCTTGGATCACTGTCTCCTTTTCCGGTGAAATTGTAGAGCCTGTTTCTGACTATAGGACAATGTGCGTCCCCAACCGTGTGTGCACCTGTCAAAATGTAAATAGATAGCAATTAGTTGAGCATGACTTTTATTTTTATTTTAATCAACAGATTTTGCAAATTTCCGGTCAATTCTATCATATCTTCGACAAAACCCCAATACCAAAAGATGTTTCTTTGTTCTTTAGTTTTTATTATGTGACCTTTTTGTTTGTTCATAGAATCTTCGTTTGTATATCATCTGATTTTTTTCATTCTAGAACATACCTGAAAGCACGACGAGGTCTTTCTTGTTGAGGCCTTTGGATTGGAATTGGGTGATAAGAGTAGTTATATTAGAAAATGGCGATGGCATGTTTGATGTGGCCTCATTGATGTTTGTAACCCGACCGTCTCTTCTTCCCGTTTCAACTTCCCATGACGGTCCATTGAGCTAAAAATATATTGATTGTTATGTTATATATAATATATGATGTTAATAGTCCAACACACACACACACACACACACATATATATAACAATTTTTCTTGATTCTATTTCTTTAAGATCAGTCAAATAATGTCAAACCAAAAGCTAACTAGTCTCTTGAAACCGTAGTTTTCATAAAATGTTATAGCATAAAAGGTGTACTCATCACCCTAGCACAAATTTTTCTTGTTATTCCGTAGATCTGTTGCATTCGAACCGGTTAGTGATACTAAACGTTTATACTTACCGCAACCACTACGTCTCTAGCAACAAGGGCCAAGACATCTGAGCAAGAAACAATGCCTGGACATTCCTTTTCTAGAGCTGCCTTGATATTGTCTATGAAATCAAACCCTTCGAGGCTGAGGTTAGGAGGCGCGTTCTTCTCAGCTTTTTTGTTCTTTAACTCTAGCAAGACCGACCCTTCACATCCCTAAAATATCATGCATGCATGATTCAATCATTAGATCTATAAAGTGCCAAACAAGACAGATTCAAAAATTAGCGTTGTGAACATTACCCGAACGAAGCAATCGTGGAAGAACAGTCTAAGCAAAGGAGGTCCAAGTGATGGATCCTTCTTCACCATGTCGAAGATAGACTTCTTAACAACAAGCTCGGCTTTCGGGCATGCCTTGTTGTAGAACCCAACTTTCAGTCCTTGTGCATTGGTTAGAGCACATGAAGAGAGCAAGCACAATAGTACTTGAAGGAAGAAGAAACAATAGATTGTAATCTTCAAAGCAGCCATATTATTATTATTAGCTTCTATTTTTTGACCAATGATCGATGATACTAATTGGGATAAGATTGTTGGTATTTATACTAAGATTAGGCGATCATGTCATGAAAGTTTCAAATATACTATATAGCTTGTTTATGTTTTATTGGTTTGCTTGATTTATATCATTATTGCCAACAGAAACGGCTGTCAAATAACTCTACCCCAAGTATTTACGTGAATTAGGCATTGACATGAATAAAAATTTGCTGGATAAATAATGATTGGATTTTGTCAATAACTAACAACTAAACAACAAGAAAAAGTTATATATTATGTTTCGTAAAATTAAAATGCTACAAGAGCCAAGAGCCGTGAATGGCTGGTGGGTAGGAGAATTAAAGATGACCAATTTTGCTAGTGATATTGAACTTCTTAACTGACAACGTGACAACAATTGACAAAAAAAAAAAAAAAAAAAAAAACTGACAACGTGACAACAATGATATGGTAGGAGAACATAATACAGCATAATTTTTTTTACAAAAAAAAACTAAGTTCTTTAATCTTTGGACTTCGTCATTGCAATTATTTTGTATGTTCATTCAATCACACTCATTCGATAGTAACATTTTGCTTCCAAACCTGATTCATTCCCGAGCTGATCTTATCACAAAACTCTTCGCACTTCAATTTCTAACCATGCCCAAGCTCTTCTCATGCATAATTATTTTTACAAGTTAAAATATCTTACACTCCTAATAAATTTTCGACTTTATTTATAGTTTGCCACAAATCATATAATGTAACAATTTTCATTATAAAAGCAGGAAAGCCAAAATTGGATACATTTTTCCGAAATCTTATAGAACTTCCAAAAACACCAAATTTTAATTATAGAGTTTAAATAAGATGTAGCTGTTGGAGTATTAGAGTTGAATTGGTCTTTTAGCTTTAGTTTGAATGAGTCTTTAAGTTGTTTTTCAAGTTTGAATAAGCTCCTGGTCTGTAGGAGTCAAGTAGTAGTGGTCCTAGTCATTAGTTTACTTCCGCAAGTTTCTCATTGTTTAGTTGTAGGAGACTTAGTCTTCATGTCATTGGCTATTTAAGGCCCACCAATTCTCAGCAATAATATATCGGAGGATTTGAGAAAACCTGCAACTTTATTTTCTACATGTCTGCAACTTTATTTTCTACATGTGGTATCAGAGCCATTTTCAAATAAAATATCTTTGAGTGAAAAGAAAACGAGTGAGTGAAAGAGGAGTTAGAGAAAGAGGAGTGAGAGAAAGAGTGAGTCGTTGAAAAGAAAACGAGTGAATGAAAGAGGAGTGAGAGAAAGAGGAGTGAGAGAAAGAGTGAGTCGTTGAAAAGAAAACGAGTGAGTGAAAGAGGAGTGAGAGAAAGAGTGAGTCGTTGAGTGAGAAAAAGAGTGAGTCGTTTAAAGAAAAAGAAAAAGGGAGAGAAAGAAGAACAAAGAAATGTCAACATCATCCGAGAAGTTTGTGCAGCCGGCTATTCCGAAATTCGACGGCTACTATGACTTTTGGTCAATGGCGATGGAGAACTTTCTAAGGAGTAGAGAGATGTGGAGCCTGGTGGAAGAAGGGATTCCGACAATGGCGATCGGGTCATCACCAGCGAATGAAGCTCAGAGAAAAGCTGTGGAAGAGGCAAAGCTCAAGGATCTTAAAGTCAAGAATTTTCTGTTTCAAGCCATTGACAGAGAAATTCTTGAAACAATTCTTGACAAAGGAACTTCAAAAGCGATTTGGGAATCGATGAAAAGGAAGTATCAAGGTTCAACAAAGGTGAGACGAGCACAACTCCAGGCGTTGAAAAGAGAGTTCGAGTTGCTCGCTATGAAGGAAGGCGAGAAGATAGACACCTTCTTGGGAAGAACCTTGTCTGTGGTAAACAAAATGAAGATCAATGGAGAAAGCGTGGAGCAGAGCACAATTGTGAGCAAGATACTCAGATCATTAACCAGGAAATTCAATTATGTTGTGTGCTCAATCGAGGAATCAAATGATCTGAGTACGCTAACTATTGATGAGCTACATGGAAGCTTGTTGGTTCATGAGGGAAGGATGCAAGAACCTCAGGAGGAGGAGCATGTTTTGAATGTCTCTCAAGACGAACGTTCCAGTTACGGAAGAGGACGAGGTAGCTTACGAGGCGGCCGTGGCAGAGGTCGAGGAAGAGCTACGCCAGACAAGGCATCCATTGAGTGTTTTAAGTGCCATAAATTAGGACATTTCCAATATGAATGTCCTGATTGGGAGAAGGGAGCATATTATGCAGAATTGGAGGAGGACGTACTTTTGATGGCTCAAGTTTCATTTGAAGAGGAGGAATGCAGGGACAAGAAGATTAAACTGGATGCTTTTGTTAGCATTTCCAGTTTAAGGGAGGGTATGTTGGAGTATTAGAGTTGAATTGGTCTTTTAGCTTTAGTTTGAATGAGTCTTTAAGTTGTTTTTCAAGTTTGAATAAGCTCCTGGTCTGTAGGAGTCAAGTAGTAGTGGTCCTAGTCATTAGTTTACTTCCGCAAGTTTCTCATTGTTTAGTTGTAGGAGACTTAGTCTTCATGTCATTGGCTATTTAAGGCCCACCAATTCTCAGCAATAATATATCGGAGGATTTGAGAAAACCTGCAACTTTATTTTCTACATGTCTGCAACTTTATTTTCTACAGTAGCCTATTAAAAAACGAATAATAGTATTCTCCATATTATTATTTGTTACAAAAGAAAACTTTGACACGGGTGAAAAAAAAAGAAGAAACTTGACAGATACATACCTTTTTTTCTTGATAAATAAAACTTGACATAATCGGATTTTACTGTTTAACATCCATAGTACAATACACATAATTCCACACATTATTCTTTAGGAAAACACACAAACATGATAATGATCATAGCGCAGTCTCACAGACATATATATTTATACTTAATTAACCATTCTGCACTTCTTGCGAACTTCCCCAGCCTGACCCGTTAAAACTCCAATCCGACCCATCTTTACCATAGAGACACCAAAATCTTTAAAGAAAGTAGACTTATCACTATTCATGTGCTTTAGAAGATAAGACTTAGTTTCTTGATTGTCTAAAAGAGCTGCGTCAGATTGAAACAACCCTCTTCTTTGAGACACAAGCTTGAAGTAGCTTTCATCAAACGTTTTGAAGCTTCCTGGATCCATTTCTAGAGCCGTCGTGGTATCAGTTGGCTTGCATTTTCTTCTGAGGTTGGCTGCGTATTTCGTGTCTAAGTTCGGATCACTATCTCCTTTGCCGGTGAAATTGTAGAGCCGGTTCGTGATTTGAGGACAATGTCCGTGCCCAATTGTGTGCCCACCTATCAAAATGTAAATATATACAAATAAGTTGAGAATGATTTTATTTTTATTATTAGATAACTGGAGATCCCAAGCTAGAGAATAATATAGAAGATATGTAGAAGAACGAGTATTCTTATTTGCTGCTAATCTGCTATATAAAGAGTCCAAAATAGCCAAACAATGTTTGGAAAAAAAGAGAAAAATATTTGTTCAAAGAACACTGCACTTTCATTATTTGATGCATCGTTCAAGTATAATTTAAAGAATTTTCTGATTCTATAACACACCTGAAAGCACAACGAGGTCTTTCTTGTCGAGGCCTTTGGACTGGAATTGAGTGATAAGGCTACTGATATTATTAAATGGTGATGGTAAGTTTAATAAGACCTCAGTGATGTTTGTAACCAGACCGTCTCTTCTTCCCGTTTCAACCTCCCACGACGGTCCATTGAGCTATATTGATTTGTATATCATAAAATACATGATGTTAAAAATCCAACATATCATTCATAAAAGATTTTATGGATTATATTTTCTTAATAGCAGTTAGAAAATCTCAGATGGAAACCTGAACTATATAGCCTCTTGAGATTTTAAGTCAACTGCATTTTGTAGCATTATAAAAGCAGAAGAATACGTCCAACCTAATTTATGGAGTCTATAATCGCCATGTGAACTTTGTAGTTAATAAAAAAAAAAAAAAAAAAAAAAAAAAAAAAAAAAAAAACTTTGTAGTAATATAAAAAAGGACCGTGTAATAAAGATACCGTGAGCACTTTATCAAAAAAATGATGAAGATACCGTGAGCTCTGACCAAATATTAGATCACTAACTTGATAGTAAAAATGTATACTTACTGCAAGCATTGCATCTCTAGCGACAAGAGCCAATACATCAGAGCAAGAAACAATGCCCGGACACTCCTTTTCTAGAGCTGCCTTGGCATTGTCTATGATCTCAAATCCTCGAAGGGTGAGGTTAGGAATTGCGTTTTTCTCATCTTTTTTGTTCTTTAGCTCTAGCAAGAGCGAGCCTTCGCATCCCTAAAACATCATGATATAATCATTAGTTCGCTAAAGCGTCTAAAAAAACGAAATGGAAATTCAGGATGTCAAGAAAGGACATTACCCGAACGAAGCAATCGTGGAAGAACATTCTGAGCAAAGGAGCTCCAAGTGTTGGATCCTTGTTAATTGCCTCGAAGACAGACTTCTTGACAATAAGCTCAGCTTTCGGGCATGCCTTGTCGTAGAACCCAACTTGCAATCCTTGCACATTTGTTGGGGCAAATGAAGAGAGCAAGCACGATATTACTTGAAGGAAAAAGAAACAAGAGATAGTCATCTTCAAAGCAGTCATATTATTATTAGCTTCTCTTTTTGACTGATGATCGATGATACTTTTTTTTGGTTTAAGATGATCGATGATACTTCAGATTGTTGTTGTTATTTATACTAACGTACTTATGTAATAATGTCACGGAAGTTATAAGTACTATAGTTTAAGTTTGAAATACAAAAATATACAAGTGTTCGTGGTTGTAGCATTGAATTTTAAAGACCAAGATATAGAATGTTTTGTAAATTTGTTGAATTATATATAATTGTTTGTGGAATATATCTATTTTTCATTTGTATATGGCTTATCGGCTTGTTTGATGTATATATAAATAGTATTTTCACCAGAAAATAAAGGCTGCCATATATTTTTAAGCAAGAAATAAAATAACCAACACAAACTAGGTGTTGAAATGAATAAAAAAACACGATAGCGAATAATGGTAATTTGTCGATAACTAAATTGAAACTGACAAGTAAACCACAAGAAGAAACTATTATTATTCGTTTAGTAACAACTAAATGTAACAAGAGCCGTCCATATGATCTAGTATTTACACGTAGACAATGGCTGGTAGGTAGGAGAATTAACAATGAATATTGCTTGTAATATTGGACTTCTAAACTGACAAAGTGACAATGATACGGTAGGAGGACAAAATAATACATCTTAAAATTTTATTTAACATAGTTTAATTAATTTTTTTTTTGACAGTACAAACTCTTTGGGCATAAACTACATTGTTTAATCTTTGGACATGATCAAAACAATTATTTTGTCCCCGTAACATCTGCATGTTTATCCGATTCCTATCACACTCATTCGATTGTAACATTTCAACGTAATGCTTAGATAGTTGCTCTATTTGATCCTATTTTATACTTTTTAGAATAAGGTGCCTTAGGGGAAGGTGGAGTCAGGACCGTGCTTACTCAATTAAACAAGAAAAACTCGCTAACGACTTTAAATTATATAGAAATTTTGTGAAGTGATAAACGAAGATGTATACGAGTTCGAACGTGTAATATATAATAAAATAACTGGTAAAATGTGCACCGAGTGCACCAGTAAGTAGTATCCCCAAAGGTTGTTAATCTTATTTCTTTCTATATCACATTTTTATGTAAAATTTATGTTACTTACATATATTTTTTTTTTGTTTTATGGCTTATATATATTATGTTGATTTGAATCCGGATGATAATACAAAAATAACAACTAACACAAGTAACTAGATTGTATATATGTTATGGTAGGTCAACCTATATTCTATATATTTTTTGGGTTTGTAATATTTTTGGTTCTAATTATTTTTATAATATATTCTTAAATTTTTAGTCTCTTCGGTGCAGTTTCTCGACCTACTGCATTGCCATCTTTCAAGTTTCGTTTATCCAAAGTCTTAAATGTTTTGTGTAGTGTACCGGAAAGGAGATTGGTCCATAAAGAAAGAAACGTAAATAGAGGAGCATTTTTTATAGCTCAAAATGTTATGAGGAAAAAAATCGTTCTCAATCATATATTATACATAACAAATGGCTACCCATTTTAGTTACATGAGGTTTTCACTAATGAAAGTTGTATTACGTGTCGGTAATATTCTTTTTGTCTCCGTTGGTGATTTTGTTTGATCTCTTTCGTATTGATTGTAACACAACTGATCCCTTTCGTATTGATTGAACTATTCAGACGAAAAAAAAAAAAAAAACTCAAATATTAAGTCACTTTTATTATATTTTTGCCTATGATCTTAAAAATCCTAGACTTTTTAAGAACCTTGATAGGCTAAGTATAGGAATGTAAGATAAGATACTTTTGTTAGTTATAAGACATATTTCTTAGTTAAGAGTTGTCTTAAGAGCTTATTGATAATGATGGTCTAACGAGTAAGAGAATGTGGTCGGGCCATGGAAGCTAAAAAGGTTGGGCTAGGGAAGTTTGGACACATAAAAAATGAAACTAAAAATAAATGTCTGAGCCCGGGTTCGAACCGGGGACCTCTAGTGTGTGAGACTAGCGTGATAACCGACTACACCACCCAGACTTAATTAACTATATATCTTAAATTACTTTATTGTACAATAGCACAAGCCAAAAGAGCCATCGAGTGATGCTGATGCGGCGGTGTGATTGTCGCCGCCGGCGTGGAGAATCGTTACCGTTATCGTTACTATGAGTTTGTTGCCCATTATTACTTACTTCTCCATTGAAACATCATCGCAAATTTCTTATTTGATCCCATTGAGCGTTTTATGTTCATTCACTTAAACGCTGCGTTTTGCTTCTTCTTCTCCTTCTTCTTCACTTCACTTCAACCTCAGACACTTGTCTTCCTTAATGGCTCACTCTCAGGTAATTCAAAACAAAACCCTAATTTCCGTTTCTGAAAATTCGATGTCTTGCTCTGATTATTGAATCTGTTATAGGTTGCGTATTTGATTCCATTGAAAGCTGATTTAAAGGAAGACGATTCATCTCCAAGGATAACTTTATCCGAAGGTCCAAACTTCATCGGCCGCGGCAACGTTTCAATCGTCGATAAGCGTCTCAGTCGCAAACACATCACCATTATGGCTTCCACGTCTGGCTCAGCTTCGTTGTCAGTGGTAAAAACTATAAACAACTTTAAAAAACCTAACTTTGGCTTCTTATCGAATTGAATCATATCAAGTTTTTGTCTTTTTGGGTAGGAAGGAACGAATCCGGTTGTTATTAGGTCTTCTGGTGGCGGCGAGAGGAAGAAAGTGAAACCCCGTGAAGAGGTTTCAGTAAGTAATGATGATCTTATTGAATTGATCCCTGGTCATCATTTCTTCAAGCTAGTTTTGTTACCCGTTGAAAAAAAAGGAAGCCATGAAAGAGCTACTAAGAAAGCTCGAAAGGTTACTTACTTGGCCTAACTAAAGAATGCAGCTTTTGTTTTGTTTCTTTGAGGCTTTGTTTGATGTGGTGAAACTGTATTAGGCTGAAGATGATGTAGAGGCCATTCGTCGTTTTTGTCCACCTAATGAGAAACTACCTTCAACGTTTCGGCTTTTGAGTGTTAATGGATTGCCTGATTGGGCTAATACCTCTTGTGTTTCCATTAATGATGTCATTGAGGTTAGGCTTATGCTAAACATATTAGTTAATTTGTTTTGTTCAGACATCATGGCTAAAGATTGTATTCGTAAATGACAGGGAGACATTGTTGCTGCAATCCTATCAAATTATATGGTCGATGTAGACTGGTTAATGTCAGGTGAGTTTTCTCATATTTTGTTTGTTGAGTTTGTCGAAATGATTAGTTATTCTGTGTACATTCATGGGGGGTGTTGTTTTTCGGTTTTCTCGAGTCTGTTAGCTGAATTCGGTTCATTGCAAATATCCTTTTGTAGCTTGTCCCAAACTGGCCAACATTCCCCAGGTTATGGTCATTCATGGAGAAGGTGATGGTAGGCAAGAGTATATTCAGGTTGGTTATGCCGGTTTGCTGATTTCTTTTGATTGATGTTAATGGTAGACTGAGATCTCCACTCTCTGTTTTGTTTTACAGAGGAAGAAGCCAGTTAATTGGATTCTTCATAAGCCCCGGTTACCTATTTCATTCGGGACACACCATTCGAAGGCTATATTTCTTGTCTATCCTCGAGGAGTGAGAGTTGTAGTACACACTGCGAATCTGATCCATGTTGATTGGAACAACAAAAGCCAAGGTTTGTGGATGCAAGATTTTCCTTGGAAAGATGATGACAAAGATCCACCTAAAGGTTGTGGATTCGAAGGTGATCTTATCGATTACCTCACTGTTCTTAAGTGGCCTGAGTTCAGTGCAAACTTGCCTGGCCGTGGTAATGTCAAAATCAATGCAGCCTTCTTCAAAAAGTTTGATTATTCTGATGCTAAGGTACCTTCTATTTCTCTATAATATTTCGGCTGATTTGTATACTTATTGTTTACTAATACTATGCAAGAAATTTTCAGGTTAGACTAATTGCATCAGTCCCTGGATACCACACTGGTTTGAACTTGAAAAAATGGGGACACATGAAGCTACGGACTATTCTTCAAGAATGCATATTCGATAGAGAGTTCTGCAGATCCCCGTTAGTTTATCAGGTAGTGTTCCGTTCCAAGTTTTTTTGTTGCAATTGCATTACTTCCAAAAAGTTTTCTTTTATAATTTTTCCATATGGCAGTTTTCTTCACTTGGTTCTTTAGACGAGAAATGGTTGGCTGAATTTGGAAATTCTTTGTCTTCTGGTATATCAGAGGACAAAACTCCTCTCGGTCCCGGGGATCCATTGATAATATGGCCTACAGTAGAAGACGTCAGATGTTCTTTAGAGGTAATCCGAACAAACGATTTCTAAAGATTTCATCTTTTCTTATATATCTTATGGATTTGACTTCTAAACCGTGAAATCTTCAAACAAAGGGTTATGCTGCTGGCAATGCAATTCCGAGCCCTTTGAAGAACGTGGAGAAACCATTCTTGAAAAAGTATTGGGCTAGATGGACAGCGGATCACAGTGCTCGTGGGTAATTTAGAAAAACCAAACCTTTACAAATCCAACTTATGATTATTACTCAATTCTGATCCATTTAATGTTACAGTCGTGCCATGCCACATATAAAGACGTTCACACGTTACAACGACCAGAAGCTTGCGTAAAGTTCATAAAGTCTCATTCTGTAGTTACCGTCTTAATAAAAGTTTACCTTTAGTGATTAATGTTCTTGTTTTGCTTCCATAGATGGTTCTTACTAACCTCATCGAATCTTAGCAAAGCGGCCTGGGGAGCACTTCAGAAAAACAATTCCCAGTTGATGATCCGTTCCTACGAGGTAAAACCCAAAACCCGTGTTTTCACGCATCAAAGTCTGATCTTTGTAACCACTAACTACATTCCATTGACTGTAATATTGTTAGTTGGGCGTCTTGTTTTTACCATCTCCAATAAAAACACAAGGTTGTATATTTTCATGCACTGAGAGCAACCCGAGTACTATGAAGGTAAGATGATCTAAGATTCCTAAACATGTTAACCTGGACCCAAACTTTCCCTCTTAATTGTGCTTTGTCAACAGGCAAAACAAGAGAGGAAAGACGAAGCAGAGAAGAGGAGTAAGCTAGTGACCATGACCTGGCAAGGAGATAGAGATTCGCCTGAGATAATCTCATTACCAATTCCTTATGAACTACCTCCTAAGCCATACTCAGCCGAAGGTTTTTTTTGCATTCATTTTCCAACAAATACCACTGCTTTCTTTCTCAAGTTATTAACGTTTTTACTGGCATTGTGATTTTCAGATGTGCCATGGTCATGGGACCGAGGCTACTCGAAGAAAGATGTGTATGGACAAGTCTGGCCAAGATAGTTGATGATAGCTTTAGTAGCTATAACTGAGACTTGAGTGAGATAGTGGCGTTATGGATTTTACTCACTCACTAAGCGATCAATAATCACTAAGCGATCAACAACCAGACGGATAAACAAAAATTAGTGTGAAAACAGATTGAAATCTGTGGATTAATCCGGAGTAGTCCAACAATTGATAGGATTAGTATTGATAAAAGTTTAGTCTGTGAAAGAAAATTGACCTGTCGGCTTCAGTCTGCCGTACGAACGAGGTTGAAAGGTTAAAAAATCTCGTGGGCCAACAGAGTATTTTACGTGTTGGCTCATTTTTAATTTTTTATATCTTTTTTTTTTTTTTTTTTTTTATATATCTTATATATGTGAAGGTTACATCATTATTGTTTTAATCTCTTAATATCTAGTAGTAAATTTTTTGTCGACATTTTACTTTAGTTTGAGGAAATTGAAATTGAAAAACCTATTACATATTTACATGTGTAGAAGAGCATGCATAGTGTAAGTGTAAACCAGCAGACCATTAAAAGCCTCGACGTTTTTACATCTGTATTTGTATAGTCCAAACACAATTAGCATAAGTGATAAGTACGAACTACAAACACAAAACATAGACATAGAAATTGGAGACAGAAGTATTTTTTCATATTATTATGACAGAAGTGTGTCGTTGGTTACAAGAAACCTACGATTCAAATTCGAGACAGAAAATCAAGAATGAAAAAAACGAAAAAAAAAAAAAAAAAATGAAGAATTTTGGTGGTACATATTCGATAGACATTTAGAATACAAACAGACGCAGACAAGAATTCACAATCAATGTCTACATTTCCAAGAACACCCGTCCCTCTCTTTGATGATTTGGCCTTTATCATATCTATCAATATTTTAAGATAATTACATTCATAAGTTATTTGACATGTAAATTTAGTCCTCGAATCTTGAGGAAAGCCAATCAAGATTATGATACTGATTAAGAACGATCTTTCTTCTATATTCTGACCATTCACAACTTGCCACGTCAGTAGCCAAAAGTTTGGATAATTTTTATCCAATGCCTTGAGACTTAGGATAGTATGCAGTAGTAGTGTCTAGAGAATTGATATAGTATCAACATGCTCGGTTATATTCTTTTATATATGGAAAATTTCCCTTGGTTTTTCACTCTCGAAAATTATAAAACAGTCTGATTAGTTGTGATTAAAGATGCCACATAATTAAAATAAATTATTTATTTGGATATTTTTATAAATTTTCATGAGATTTGAAAATATTTGACAATGAATGTATTGGCTCAAGTAGGTTCTTTGTATATTGTTTTAGGTCTTCTCTTCTCTCAGATTTAAGATTTCTAAGTATCTTGAGATGATGAATTTTTCAGCTTTCTTTCGATTTTTTTGTTTGTTTTTTTTTTTTTTTTTCCGAAATTTTCACTTCAAAAAAGTAGATAATGGGTCGAGACTATGTCCTTATGTATTATTATTTTATTTTTTTTTCGTTATATGAGATTTCTTACATGCATGTAGTTTAATTTGACTTACTTTAAAAAAAATAGATAGACTTTGGATAAATTTTGTTGTTGACATAGTTTTAAAATAAAAGAAAAGAAAATTTGTCTGCAGAAGTTGTGGGATATGTGTAAGTTCCATATATTCTCCTATTGATTAAAAGAAACAAAGATGTTGAACATGTATAAAATTTCGGCAGTATTTAACTAATTCATCAATAAATCCATATACACTATAATAACGTTCTAACCTACTTATCATATGTAAGACTTTAGAGCACTCTTAAATAAAGTTAACTCGCAAATGTTTTTACTTTTTTTTTTTACAGTAACATTGGGACAGCAGTAAGAACAATTGTGCTATAAATGCTGGTTTTTGCAAATGTTCAAACTAAAAACAGAAAATTTTGGAAATTGTTATCTCACTACTTTAGTAAAAAGATGGAGATAAGAAAGAAAGAGAGGTCATGTGGGAGAGGGCGTGAAGGATGGGGATGCTCCCTGATTAGAGGGGGAAAAGAGTGTCCTATCATCACATGGGAGGTTAAAACTGGTTCTTATTTATAACTTCAAAATATTAAACATTAATAGTCCCACCTTTGTGTGCTCATCAGCAAACATTTTTCTTTAATGTCCAATTTATCACACCATCTCCTTGTTTTCTAATACATATTATGCATCTACTTATCATCATTCATTTCATATCTTTTGCATATCATTATCATCATCATCATCATCATCATCACGTGTTTTGATCTAACAAATGTTTTGTTGTTATTTATGACCAAAACAGCATAACCATGTATTTATATAAGTTGAAACACTGATAGAATTAGATGAACTAAAAAGTTTTTATTCAAAATTACATATTGACGAATGTTAGTTTAGAAATCACAGCTTTTAGAACAAGCTCAAAGATATTGGGTTCGACATATTGAGTTGATGAAATTCCACTTAGGCATTACATATAAATAAATATCGTAAGCATACAATATCTATTGAGGTACACGTGATAGAGCTTGGACAGTTGGACTAAGACTAGCCCCTCCCTATTGGCTAGGATAGATACCGTACGTTCCCTCAAATTGACCTAAGTCCATTGTTTTTATTTACCCGTATCTATATAACTGATACACAAAATCTTCTTGGGTTTACGTATCACAATCGATCGAGTGATGATATTTTAATGTTCATTGTTTCATTAGTTGAAATCAGACATTGCTTCCCACTGTCAAAATTAGTTTCTCTATGATCATAAGTTCATAACAGATTTCACAAGACAAGTTATGAAAAATTAGTTGTCGTTTGGTCTTTTAAAAAACATAATGATACATTCTCATAAACTCTCACTTCAAGCCTCAAGCAAAGCTAGTACATGTTATTAAGGTTATAACTACTATAACTGATTATCACAAACGTTCACCTCAATATATATATAGAGGATCTAATGACTAAATATACATTCGACTAAAAAATGTTTTGGATTAGTTATCAGTGAAAATGTTGTTTGGATATTTTATGCCAATCTAGATATTCATTTTTGGAATTCCTAATCGACAGAAAAATAACAGATATTAATGTTACTAATCAACATTTCTTTCTTTGAAAAGATTTACATCATTGAAATACTACAATATTAAAAATATAAAAATATAATAGCGATACTAATTATAGTAGTCACATAAAGATATAATAAAAAGATTTTGAATCTCTACATAATACAAATCTATTGCAAAAATCTTTTTCAATAATAGATAGTAAGTTCTACTCAAGATTTTGAAATTTGTTTAAGAAAAGCAAGTTTTTGTTAATAATTTGACAACCGAAAATTTTAGTATCAATTTTGCAAAGTTTTAAGAAAAGCAAGATTTTAATTTGTTAGAGATTTGGGATTAATGTAATTTTCAAAAGAAAAGAAGATTGGTTGTTTGTGAATATAAGAAAATAGAAAATCTGTAACTATTCTCAATATATTTAATTTTGCGGTCTCTTTTTTTAAAGTAAATAGGTAAAAATTAGATTGACTTTTTTTTTGCTTTTGTCTTATTTGCCTTTTTCTCTAAACTGATTTTTTTTCAGTGATATAATCTGTAATATCAATCAACTTTAAAGTTATATATTTATTTAAAAATGATCATCAATTAATAGTATTAGATAATATTAGACACATATACACATCACAATCTGATAAATTGTAAATTCACGTGTCATGTATCCAAGACTCCAATTCTAAACCACTGTTTTCTCTTGTGCACTTGTCGTCGTCACATCCTACACCCCTATTTAAGATTATTTGTATTACTCTCTCTAGAAGTGGTCCTAGCTCTCTATATAACACCATTTCTTCTCCGTCTTTCTTCTCCCTTTCTTTCGACAAGCACAAACAAAGCCATCAAGAGAAGAGAGCCTTTTCTTGGATTCAGATACACAAGAATATTTTTCAAGTCAAAATGTCGTCTAGCAGAAGGTCGAGACAAGCAAGCTCATCATCAAGAATTAGCGATGACCAGATCACTGATCTCATCTCAAAGCTCCGACAGTCCATTCCGGAGATTCGCCAGAACCGTCGTTCCAACACGGTAAAATCTCTTTAAAAGTTACTGTATATAGAGAATCTTTAATTTACTAAGTTTGGCATATATATTAGTAATATAAGTTTTAATTTTATGGTCTTTATTTAGGGTTAGTTACTATGTTTGATAGAGAAACACGCATATACATTATACAAACATGTTGGAATAGTGCATTATAGTCAAAGAATTACGTGTGGGAGATTGCATTTTGAAGTTTCTAAAATGACTTTTGACCATTAACCGGACTTTGAGGAGAGGAGGGAACATATTTCCCCTAACTTCAGCATTAAGCTTCTAATTAATTTTACTTTTATTATTGATTAATTACATTGAATGTGAGACGACTATATTGCTTCACGGACTATCAATTCAATACATTTATGTACAGCACCGACTTATTTTTATATTTAGTTTTCTTAGTTTCTATAAAACAAGAAAAGGACGAACTCTAGAAAAATAAGAAAAAGCTGGTTTCTATAAATGGAAGCATCGTTTTCTTATAGTACACACAACCAATCAGATTTGTTCTCAATTTCAAAACAAATGTGTTAGTTTTGAAAAGTTATGAGCATTTATCTTAAGCTTTATTTTTAGATAATGCATAATGTAATATGTCAAGCAATTAGCGTCAAGATATTTTTTTAACCTTTTTAATTAACACGCATCATAACTTTAAGCTAAGACTTGTTTGAATATTTTATATATTAAATCTTACTATATAGAATGTACAATTGTGAAAAATATTTTGTAGGTATCAGCGTCGAAAGTGTTACAAGAGACTTGCAACTACATAAGAAACTTGAACAAGGAAGCCGATGACCTCAGTGATCGATTGACTCAGCTTCTGGAATCCATTGATCCTAATAGCCCACAAGCCGCCGTTATTAGGAGCTTGATTAATGGATAATATTATAAGTTTATTAGTTGTGCTTATATAAGCTTAAAATCTCATTGAGAGGTTGATCCATCTATCAGGGTGTTGCATAATTATATATCTATTATGTTTCTTATATATTATTTACAATCCTAGCTAGCTAGGGTTCATATTTTGACCCTCTTTTGGTTTAACATCATGCATGCAACCATTAAGCTTAAATTATAATAAATAATATTCGAGCAATTATTTAATTTAATCCTTTTATATTATATGTAATTAAGTACGTGTGTCCATTTGTATGTATGTGTTATACAAATGGATATATTATAGTATATGACAACCAAGAGATCCTTTTCAAACGACATTTAGAGTAGTCTTCGAAATTCATAGAAACTTTGATTAATACTATAATTTAAAGCGTACACAATTATCAACTTTAAATGAAAACATATAGTACTTTAGTAGGATGACTTAAAAAAAATAAAAAAAAAATCTTAAAACCTTTTTACCGCTATACATTGTTACAAATTACAAACTACAAAATGAAACATATATACTAGCAGCTTTTGTCATATAAGAAAAGAAAAAACAAAAGACAACAATGAAAACCAACCCATCATGCAATAATATACTATTTGATAACAAAGATAATGATAATTTGCTATAAGTTGTATAGTATTTAGCTTTACATATCCGTATAAATTATCTGAAGGTTTACGAAATAGTACATGAAGTCAATAAGTCATCATACAAATCAAGTATTTATTTTTACATTTTTGTGACATCAACAAATCAAGTATCTAATTTGTGTAAATATTTTACAGTCAAATTGTCAAAATGTATGAGTGCCGCGACGAAGAGTAAGAAGTGTGAGCATTTTTTAGAAAACTCTTTGGCTGAAATATCAAGTGGCAGGATCACACGAATCTTGCAAATTAATGTTGCAATAAGGACACTATAAAGTAACGCAATTTTTGGCAACAAAAAAAATAGTATAATTAGTACAGAGTTCAACATAAATTAAATCACATTCTAAAAAGGAGTTTGTCGTCTTTTGTGAGCAGATGTGAGATACAAATGACGTTAATACTTAGATTTGTCGGAGAATTGGGATCATGAGCCACAAATTTTGCATAAATTAGCGTAGTATTTAAGTTAATATCTCACATTTTATACAAACAACGATATGCATATATATATATATATATATATATAATTATAAGACAGGGATGTGACTTTTTTTTTTTTTATTAGTATGGAGATCTTTCATGATTTGTTACTTACCGGTTGTTTCAAGAATTTGTGGACTTCTCTCTTCCATTTATACACTGGGCAATTTTTTTTGTTTAAATATATTATATAAAATAAAATGTTTATAAAAAACCACTAAAAGATAAATTTACAGGATACAACGGTAAAGTAGTTAAATCGGTTGAAAATGAATAATACTTTGCCGCTGATAATATAACAACTAACGAGAAACTTTTGACTATGAACTTTTAGTAAATGTGGACCTTTTAACATAAACCTTTGACTTTTTTGGTTACGTAAAACTAATTGATAAAGTAATTCGCTATAGTATCGTTTTCTTTAAAGGACATAAATTTCAATAATTTCCATGATCTAAAAAAATTTGGATTTTCGTCCTAAACTTGAAGGCACTAACCACTGGTCATATAAATAGCATAGTCTTTTTCCTTAGCAATGTACTCGAATGAAATTTCCAACCGATATCTGAACTATAATTAACTAAACCTGGAATATATGGTTTCTACTGTTCACAACGACCACTATCGATTTCTCTTGATTTGTATGTAAGCTAGCTTTATTTTCTATCTATATTTTAATACTTGGTTTGTTATTTGTGAACAGTAATTTACCTGTAATTGTTATTTTATATAGTGACACTGATATTCGAATCAAAATTATAAATTCCCACAGTAAAGTTGGTGGTAAGTACTAAGTAGGGATCCATATATGGTCCCTTTCAACTGAAACCTACATTAAATTAGATACCCATATTATTTAGGGTATATATATATATATATTGATATATTTTAGTTATAGTTAATATTTTTCTACTGAAACTGAAGTTTTGTTAGTTCTTATGCTAATACACTAAATATTTTCTAATTTATTTATAAATATTATGAATATTTAAGGTATTATTAATATATATTACATATAACACATTTTGTACTAGCTAGCTAGCAAATGAAAGACCACTTTTTTTTTTTTTTCTTGGACAACTATGATTGTAAGACATCACATTTTTATGAATAATATGTATTGTGTCGAAATTATATTGAGTATAGATGGTGACACATATTTAAGTTATAATAGCGACTACAAAATTTGAATACTAGAACAAGACAGTATAGAAAGACGTCTAAACAAAACTATAGACTATATACTAATATAATATAGAATACGAAAGAAAAATAAAATATCGGTTATAAAATTCCAAAACAGATGTAATTGATGGGTCATAAAATAGTGAATGTTGCTCTACCCTACAATTTTGTTATAACTACCGACATAAATTGTTCACACCGTTGGACAAAGGAAACATATAAATTTCTCATTTGTTTTTTTTTGTGTGTTTTTCTCTTTTTAATGATATAGAAAATAAATAACAACAAACAAAAAACACAAAAGTAAAAAGTATAAAAAAAAAAAAAAAGAGAGAGAGAAAGGGGATGAACAGAATTACATTCACGGTTAAGGTCGTTATCACTGTTTAACGGTATTGTCAAAAAAGGCCAGTCAACGTTTGTAAGTACCTCTCTGTCCTTTCCCACATTTTCCGCGTTCTTTGACTTTTCAAACCCAATTTGCTAATAATATTAATACCCACATTATAATTTCGATAATCTAGGCATTTCTAACAAGTAAGAAACATATTTTGAAGAAGCAGGCTTTTACGTTCTGATGGGCTGCGAACCGAAGCCCATTTTTTATTAATTCTTTATGGTACTCTTTAAGGCCCAAATAATTAGGCCCATAAGCTCAACACACGTGATTTCAAAACTAAATAAGGAAATATACTTAACGCGAGCAAGCATCATTAGAGAGTATTCTTCACGCGCGCGACACTGTGGTGAACACTAAAGAGACAACAGAACTTCTATAGGCCCATGAAACTTAACACCACATCTCAAAAGGGGATGAAGTTCATTGAGTTGGAAAGTTACATATAATGTCAGAACTAAACATAATCGATTGTTGAACGCAATAAATTTACACATTTGTAGGTAATGGTTTGGTATGCAACAAAGACACTGTGCTTTGTAAGTAAAGGTGATTGTACGATTCTAACATCTAGATAAATTGTGGTGTATAAAGAATGAATTGATATACTTGACATGATTATTTATTAAGATACTCGCTCAAACGTGACCTAACCTAGTTCTAGATATTTTGCTTGCCGCATGATAATAATTGTGAACAAAGGAAACAAACCTTGCGTTAGCTTCGGTCGTTAACAAAAAATAAGAGACTAGATGGATGATTAATAACAACTACGGACTACGGTTTATTTATCTATAAAATACATTAATATATGACTGGGTCAATATATAACATACAAGGAAAGAAAAGTATCAAACAAAAAAAATTTAAAAATAACGAGTGGAGAGTTGAAGTATCCCAAGAAAGAGGCAGAGAGTAGGAGAGGAAGCAGAGCACATGGGAGCAGTGGAGCTAGTTGGAGAAGCTTAATTCAGATCATATATCTATATTTTCTTTATTATATTGCAATGTTTTTTAAAAAGACATTTCAATAATTTTCTGCAACAAAAGCATATTGCCAAAGGGGATAGATAGATAGGTGTTAATACTCTTTCAAATCTTCCCAATACAAGCATGTGAAAGACCTTGTTGTAGGACAGGTCTGTGGCACTAATATTGTAGGTCCCATTTCTTTTATTCGTATTCAAATACTATATATTATATATGATACTATATGGCATATAGGCATCTACTAACAAATGTAAAAAATTGTATTTATTTATATATGTTTGATACTGCGAAAGTCACCACATAGATATGACAATTGGGAAACACAAGTGGTGGGTCTCTCTATCTTTCACATCTACCTTGGATACTCATAAAAACTCTTTCCAACAAATTTCAGTAGAGTGAAAGAAAGAGCATCTCAATCATCATGTTGCCAATCAATATCTATTTATCACAATATATAATGTATTTATATCATAGATTTTTTTTTTTCACAATTTATATTGGCTTGAATGTTAAAAAAAAAAAACCGAATTCAAGATTGTTTATTATTATTTTTGTTTAAATCTTTGCCCAAGTTTGGAATGAGCATTCCTGAATTATGAGTCTAGAAAGTGAAAGATAATTGATATTTTGACCCAAATTCTTAGTATAACTTAGTACTATAGAATGTTGGTACTTTTAAGTTATAAAAAACTTTAGCTATTATGTTTTCTTTTGACACTATTAATAGTTATCCCTTATTACCTTCTAAATAATAGAAGTTTGGTTATGTAAGAAATACTTAGGTCGGTGCGTAGTGTGAACGCATCTACCTGGTGAGAAGAACACACATGCGTTTAAGTTGTACTGTAGAATGTTCTTCAAAATACCAATGAGTCTGGTTTTACATATATTATTCATCTCTTCTAAGAAAAATTTAATCCTTTTAAGAAAGTAATATATGTACTTGACTGTACGTAAAATGCTAATAATAAAATTGGAAAATTCAATTATATATCAGTGATCTATACGCACTAGCTAATACCTTATACGTACTACGAACTACAGTTAGATATATTCGGAATATAATTTAATCAATTATTGATTACACCTGATTAAAATTCATGATTTCATTTATATTAATTAAAGGCCATAATAAATTATTTGTTCGAGCGTACCGGTCCAACCCTATTACAATTGATGACAATTTCCCTAATGCTACGCCTATATTCGAGGATTGAGAGTGGGTGTCATAGTTTCTTTTAATTTTTTTGCTTATCTTCTTAAAATGATTACATGTGTGTATATATTAATTATATAATAGAGATGTCTTTTTAGTCAAGTGGTTAAGTCCATTTGACTCCGCATTTTTCACCGGAATTCCACTCCACTACATCGCGTTACCTTTCGTAGTAGAGATTGACTATGGATCGGGCCTTGTCGATCCAAAAATGTCAAAAAAAAAATGTATATATTAATTATATAAATGAGTAGATCTAATAGTTTCGAACAGAGTTTCAAATTTTTTCTCCTTGATCTCAAATTTTTAAATAAGATTTTTCGAACTAATCTTTATATCATATCGTAGAAAGATAATATATCGATGAATCTCGAGATCTAACTGTGAATATTAGGATTATAATTGTGTGACAAATTAATTAATTAAATAGAAAAATGTTAAATCAACTGTATTAGTTGGTTTATAGTTGTACATATGTATAAGCTAAGCTGTATATTTAAACACTATATGCAGATGAAGTGGAAAATGTATGTACGTATCCATGTGCTCTGTAATTTTAATTTTAATTTCCCAAGTGTCCTATACATATTGAATCAAAAGAAAAATCAGCATATGCCCTAAAAGCTTAAATGGTATAAAGGGTGGGTCCTATACAAACCTCCCATGAACTGATCTCTTCCTTCTTCTTCTTCCTTCTTCTTCTTCTTCTTCTTCTTCCTCTACTCACTAAATTGTCCCTCATAAGAAAGATTCAAAGATCTTGTGATATTGATCTCCAACAAGTTCTTTATATAAGCTAGGAAAATTGATTAGCTCACAATTCATAAGAGGAGTTGATCATTGGTGGGCTTTGAGCGTGTGTATACATATATATTAATATATATATATAAATATATATGTATATGTATGAGGAGGAAAGGAACAATATTAATAATAATCAAGAAGGATTGAGATTGGAGATGGCCTTTCCACAACATGGCTTCATGTTTCAGCAACTCCATGAAGACAATGCTCATCACTTACCTTCCCCTACCTCTCTCCCTTCTTGTCCTCCTCACCTCTTCTATGGTAAGTACCTCTCTCTCTCTTACCAAATTTATCAATTTTCCGTTTGGTCACTTCGGAATTCACATGGCGACTACGAGATTACTGGGGGGGGGGGGGGGGGGCTTGAAATCCCAAATTACCAAAAAAAAGAAATAAGTGGTAAAGTCTGTTTTCTTTGTTTTGGTGTATAGGAGGAGGAGGAGGAAACTACATGATGAACAGATCAATGTCGTTCACGGGAGTATCAGATCATCATCATCATCTAACTCAAAAAAGCCCGACAACAACGAACAACATGAATGATCAAGACCAGGTAGGCGAGGAAGACAATCTATCAGATGATGGGTCACATATGATGTTAGGAGAGAAGAAGAAGAGGCTGAATTTAGAGCAAGTTAGGGCATTAGAGAAGAGCTTCGAGCTAGGGAACAAGCTGGAGCCAGAGAGGAAGATGCAGCTTGCTAAGGCTTTAGGGTTGCAGCCTAGGCAGATTGCGATATGGTTTCAGAACAGGAGAGCTAGGTGGAAGACAAAGCAGCTCGAGAGAGACTATGATTCTCTCAAGAAACAGTTCGATGTTTTGAAATCAGACAATGATTCTCTTCTTGCCCACAACAAGAAACTACATGCTGAGGTATGTAATATACACACAAATTCAACTAGTCTTTGTACATCCTCATTCCTCACGTTATTTTTAAAGGCTAATCTTATCCAAACGATGTCCGATTAAATTGATATGAATGTTTTTACAAGTCACTAAATTATGAATATTATAGGTTCTTCGTGGTCTTTACGATGAAAAAATAAGAGAATGTGTATTCATAGTTTGTAGAATTTTAGCTAATGAATTATTATTATCATTCATCAAGCATATACAAAAGGAAAACCTTCATGGATTAACACGTAGTTGGAGATCTTGGAATAGCTTTAATATATAGTATATAGTATATAGTATGATATCATCTGCAATTAGATCATTGATTGGCTCTTGATCCAACGCAAAGATGTTTGTCAAAAGACATTAATTATAAATTTCATTTTTTATTAGTAAATAAAGATTCTTGTGTACATACATTTTAAACTAGTAAACTTCCCATGTGCTTGTGGAGTTGACATCACAATAATTTATTTTTATTTAACAAATTAATATAATTATATGTGAATAAATCTCTCCACTGACTTTGGTTTACGTGTGATGATATTGGTACATAAAACAGTTAGTGGCATTGAAAAAACACGACCGTAAAGAATCAGCAAAGATCAAGAGAGAATTGGCAGAAGCTTCATGGAGCAACAATGGGAGCACAGAAAATAATCATAACAATAATAGTTCAGACGTTAATCATGTGAGCATGATCAAAGATCTTTTTCCCTCTTCAATCCCATCCGCAACCACGACCACGACCTCGACCAATATTGATCATCAGATTGTTCAAGAACAAGATCCAGGGTTTTGCAATATGTTCAATGGTATTGATGAAACGACGTCGGCTAGTTATTGGGCATGGCCTGACCAGCAGCAACAACATCACAATCATCATCAGTTCAATTGATTATATTGTCTAAGAACAACATCATACTCATCTTGATATCATTATTATCATCAAAAGAAAATTTCGTAGATTTTTTTAATTGAGTGTTTTATAATTATTTGGCACTTTTAAAATTAAATTGAATTGGGTTATTATGTTTTTTTTCCCTTTGGGTTTGTAGAAAATTGGTGTATAGGGGATACTTAACAATTTGTAGTATGATATTTTCTTGTTACTTCAATTGAATGAATAAACTTTTCTTTCGTATCAAATATATATATAACAAAAAAGTGCACTAAATATATATATTTTTTAATCTAAAACACATGCTACTAAAGATTTTTGTCAGTAATGACGATTTTTTTTTACTATCGCTTCTTGTTAGTCACATAACATCATTTTTATTCACTACTTTAATATGCAAATAATTTTTTTTCTAAATCCAGCTTCATATCTTTTTGAAGTGAATGTGTCAAAAAAATTTTCTTCTTCCAGCTTCATATCGTTTTTTTTCTTCTTCTAAAAGTGTAACAAAAAAAAATTCAATTTATTTAAAGTATAACAACACATACATATATGTTAATTCTAAATATTTTGCTAGGTTGGAACAGAAAGCTAAAAGGAAAATAACAAAAACATATGGAAAATTTTCAGATGCATGTGCCTTCGGGTGGGATTCCAGCTCTGCCATTGACACAACATGACCGATGAAATATATCTTACATCTGACATTTTTCCATCTAACTTTTAATTTATAAAATCGTGTGCTCGTGTCTGATTTATTTTTAATCAGATTTCTAAGATATTTTTTTGTATATAGTTAATTACCGTCATTTAATTAAAAATCATCAATCAATTCAAAACTAATTTAGTTTTATCATATATATATGTATAATTTATATAAATATTTGTTTAAATCTTCATTCATTTTAGTATACTTTAAATTTTAATAGTTTGTAAAAATATAATATATATATATTTTTATCATAAATTACGTTTTGTTTGATCTAATAATTGTTTAGTTAGAAACTTACAAAATTTTTCTATGCTATTTTTAATATGTGATTTTCTTTCTTATAGTACATGCAAATTGCAAAATCTAAAGAAGGAACTCATACCGAATCATAATTTATCTTTAAAATTTTAATGTGTGTGTGTGTCACGTTGTCAGTCGGATATATAAATCTAATATTCAAATCGATTTTGGAATGCAATTTACTTTTTATTCAATCACAATGTTGAGAGTACTGTTTTACACTTTTACTTTTCATATACTTGTATCATTTTTTTTAGTTCACCAATCAGAGCCATATAAATTTGGACTGATACTCAAAGTGATAGTCAGTAAAACGTTGTGTTTTTTCTCGTTTAAGATATTTATACCAACTACAGTATGGAAGTTATTATTAACGATTTTAGATATAATGATAGTGGTAACTAACTAAAGGATGATTATTGGAAGCACACATTCCAAAGACGAAGAAGAAAAGTCCAAAAAGAGAACAGAAGTGAAACAGTGTTTCGGAGAATCGTTCACTCATCCGTAGCTAGCTTTTCGGATCTTTGGATGCTTTTGAATTCAAGTATTAATAGAAACTCTCTCTTAAGATAAATATATTTATTTATTTTTGTTATAACACAAGAAAACAAATAAAGTACCAAATATTTTGCTTCTTTGTGGGCTCTCCATGTGACCTCACTGCCACTTCACTTCTCACAAAAACTCAAACTTGCGATTGTGGAAGTTTGGCCAAAAAAATCTAAGACTACACAATATATATGTTTAAAATTAAAACTGTACTCGTATGTGTAGCATCCAATTAATTATGAGGTGGTTACGTTGTTAGGCAATGGTTTTTCTTAACTCTACTGTGATAAATCCCTAAACCTAAACTTAGAAAAAATAAAACGAATACCCTTTATCAAAAATAAATAAATAAACCATTAAACCTAAACTTTTCAGTTTTACCAAGTAAAATGAAACGAATTGTTGGTGTATAGGGTACGGATTTTAGGGTGAAAGGAAAGTTATTGTAAAACTTAAAATTTATGGTCAGATCACAAAATTATATGCCAAACTCCACCTAATTTTTCGGACATCACTCAATACGTGTACGTACTTACATACGTAGTTTATGGAATATATAGCTAGATAATGGCATGTGAGATCTTGGGTTTCTCGTATATTTTATATGGTTGTATAAGAATTTTGGTTTAAGTGCACATGTTTAAGTTAATGGATAATGAATGGGTCAACTCCTAAAATGTTCTGTTTTCTACTTTTCTACATTTGATTTAACAAACACCGTCATAACGAATAGCTTGACCTGGCATAATCGTTTTTTTATTTTTTTATTTTTTATAAGTTGTTATAGAGGACATATTGGTTTATACTTTTGCCTAATAATAATAATGTGTATCTGTATATAATTTTTTTTTCTTAAATGTACAAATTTATGGTCGATTGACGATTACTATTCTTAACCGCATACAAAGTCATACTCCCTCCGTTTCAAAATTTAAGACGTTTTGGAGAAACTTTTTGTTTCAAAATATAATTAAGTCATTTTCAAGTTACTATGCAAATTATATATTACTTTAATATTTTATAATTATTTTTATTATGCAGTCTATTTTATGATTGGCTGAACTTTTAAAAAATAGATCTTCTTAATCGGCGTGCTTTTAGCTAAAACGCCTTATATTTTGAAACGGAGGGAATATCTCTTTTAAGATCGTTACAGTTGGTGGTAAGCATCACAAACTCATTCTTCTAATTTACTTGAATTAATTTCGTTCAAAAGATCTAATTCCCAAAGAGCTCAGGATTCTAGTGATTTTTATTGTTTTATTTTAATCACAATTGGATTTACTGAAATAATAAAGGCCAAGACGAGAAAGTCTATATATGTCCACGAGCGACATCTCAACATATGCCCGAAAGGTATTTGTTTGATGAACCAATGAGTAAACTCTTTGAAAGATGCTTTGTATTATACCGGAAAAAAAAAACGAAGATGCTTTGTATAAAAAAAAAGGACGTCAGGATTCTTGAAAACACTTGGTGTGAGCATCTTTTTGAGATTGGTACGTCCTTGACTCTTGTTGGTGGGGCTCTTACTCTTAGATACAAATATCAAACCCTTAAGGTACGTCTTCAGTGGAGTTACGTTATATGCATCACAAACTGGTTTCGGATCTTAATCAAATTCATAGGGCACTGAATTTTCCTCTATGATGTTACAGATAAAAAGTAAATAGAACAACGAGAATTTGGTGAAGTTCATAACCAAAATTACGTATCAAAACAAGAAGAAAACATAGTGTGTATGAGTTATGCATAAAGAGATGGAATATTCACGTTAAAATCATGAAATTTAATAGTTTAAGAATTGTTACAAAATTACAATGTAACTAGTTTCTTCTTCATATGACCATTGAACATGGTTCCAAAGGTAATCATGTATGTAACAAAATATAAAAATAGTCTATGAAACAATAGAAAACTTGAAGAGCATAGTGTGCTTGTATTTCTTCCCTGGCTCGACAATCTGTGAAGGAAATTTCGGATGGTTTAATGCGTCTGGATAACTTTGTGTTTCTAAACATAATCCCCCGAAAGCTTGGTAAACCGCCCCATTCTTCCCTTTGATATCCTTTAACATTCCTCCGGTATAGAATTGCAAACCCGGTTGGTTTCCGGATAACTCCATTTTTCTCCCCGATTTCTTATCTACGAGTTCCACTATCTTTCTCATCTTTTTCGCCTTACCATCTAAGCAATAATTTATATCATATCTGCAATAAAGAAAAAAACAATCATATAGGTAACTATTCATACTAAAAAATGATATTTTAGCCTAGTATATATGTGCTATCACTCACCCTGTTTTAAGATCCTTCATATTATCTTTTATAGGGCGGAGTTGGAGAAAATCATACGCTGTTCCTTTCACTGGAGTGATTTTTCCGGTGGGAATGAGCTCACCATCGACGGGAGTATAGCTTGAGCCGAGGATTTGAATTTCTTCAGACAAAATATCTCCGGAATTATGACCACCAAGATTCCAATAACTGTGATGAGCTAAGTTCACCGGAGTTGCTTTATCTATAGGCTTTGCCTCCATCACCACACTCAATTCATTGTCTTTGACAAGTTTGTATGTCACCGTGACATTGAGTTCTCCGGGAAACCCTATTGATATATAAAAAAGGAACTAGTAATCGTTAGATTCTTCCTTAAATAGTACATTTCAAAAGTTTAGGGTAAAATAAAGAAGTGAAAGAAAGGGAACCTTGATCGCCATCAGGGCTTGTGTAAGTGAAGACAATGTGAGGTTTCTTGCCATCATACTTGTGTTTTGCAACTGCCCACACAACATCCCCAAATCCTTTCTTGCCACCTAAATTAACAAAAATGTTAATCCATTACACCTATTCGCATAAATCATAACTAATTGATCTAATTATGTTATGGCACTCATAATTAATTTACCATGAAGTGTGTTTTTCCCATCGTTGGCACTTGTCTTGTACTCTTTACCATTCAATTTGAATTTGGCATTTCCTATTCTATTTGCTACTCGGCCCACGGTTGCTCCGAAATACACCTTGTCGGTCTAAATAGTGATTACAAATTACTTTATTAGTTTATTAGTATAACAAAAACATAATATAATTCAAAAGACATTAAAAGTATAACACACCCGGTAAAAAGGATTTTCTACATACCTTGTAGGATTTGACGCTATCATAGCCAAGAACAATATCGTCCATTTTTCCTGAAAATCCGTATTAAACATTATAATAAAATTTTAGTATATGTCTATATATTACATATAAGATGAGTTGCATTTTAGCCAACTATCAATGTGATTGGGTTCACTAACCATTTTTGTCAGGGAAATGGAGAGACATGATTGAAGCACCCCAATTTGTGAATTTGATCGTTAGATTTCCCTTCTTGAGCTCGTATAACCCAATATTCTCCTTCTCATTATCATCTCCATCAACTTCATCTTCATCATCATCGTCGTCATCATCATCGGTATCATCATCCGTATCATCATCATCATCATCATTGTGTCCATCCTTCTTTTTATCCTTATGCTTCTTTTC